AAAACAATTCCTTAAATTGTCAAAAGTATGATTACTACTAACAATGGTTTTCCAACTTGCTCAACTAATCAGCCCTACCCTATTGTCACAGGAGAGTCAGGGCAGACATCTCCCCTAGAACAATGTCCCATCTAAGGCCAGCCTAAAGAACATGTTCTGTATCTTGGTAAATGGGATTCTAGCCTCCAGAGTTTAACACAATGACTTCAGCCCTGTATATATAATGTATGCAGATGAGACCGACGCCTAGGGCACCATGGAGCAGGAGGCATCTTGGCTTCTTTTTCAATTCAGCAGGAATAATTTGCATGGAAAATTGGAGCAAATGGAAGAGAGGTTATTTGCCAAAGCAAGCTATGAAACATCAGCTCTAACATGCTCTAAAAAAATGATTGCTTGTTATTGAACTGGTTGCTATGCAAAAGCCTCCAGCACAAGGTATGCCAGGTTTAACATCAAAAAGCTGTGCAGATCTTTTTTTGGATGGGAACTTCAGCAACACTCAGAGTGAATGCTGAGAATTCCATCACAGCAGGCGTACCAGAGGGATGGGATGCTTAATGCTTGATGGAACTGTATTGTGTGTAATGGCTAGTTTGTTGTCTGGAGCTCACAGAACTCAGGCTCTTTTTCCTTCTTCAGACCTGAAAAGCTAGTTTTTCTTTAAAAACCTTGCTTCCAAAATCAAATAAAAATATGTATTAAGGGGCCAGTGCAGCTATATTGTTATAGCTTGGAAGATGTCAAAAAGTGAAACCACCTGGAAATGTCACGCATCTCTCAGGAGCTCTATTGGTGAGATCTTGGTGCTAAATTTTTATTCATTTTATATTATGGAGAATGAAACACAAAGAAAAGGTGGGCGGGAACACATAAAACACTCAGGTGTGCAGGAACATGAGAGGGTAATTCCAGCAGGGAGATCTTGCAGATAGAGAATAAAAGACAAAAGAAGCCATGGGGTGACTAAGCCAACCAGGATCTACCTACAGCCAGGGGCGGACTGACCATTTGGAAACTCGGGCACTGCCCAAGGGCCTGGGGTCAGTAGGGGGCCCCATGAGATGCCCCTGGTACCTTTTTCATAGTCTTTTTTGAGTTTGGGTAAGGGCACAGGGGCCCCATGATCCCCTATTGCCCGGGGGCCCCATGAGTTGTCAGTCCGCCCCTGCCTACAGCTGAAGTAAAATTTTTGGTTGGACCAACCTTCAATGGTGGCCTTACACGCTTCAGTTTTGTACGTGATTTGAAAAAAAAGATCGAATTTGCAAAAAAAAAAAATCTATAACTTACCTTCCAAATGATTTAGACTCAGTTTCAATCAAACTGAGTGGATCGGCCAGGGTGGAAAGTTATTGATTGCTTTTCATTGGTCAGCAGCATTGGGATAGTTTGTTCATAAATACAATGTTATTTATTTTGATCAGATTTATGACATTACATGGTGGAAAGAGAAATGCGATCAATGACTTATGATCATATGTTACAGTCATATCTATCGATCAAAATCCACTTCTATGCATGTGTCCTATCAATCTAATGGGTTGTTGACTATAGATAGATTATTCTGGTTGAAAGAGATGGATCGGAAAATGTGTAGGTCCACCATCACACTAGGTGTTGAGGAGAGCAAATGTTGGAGGTGGAGAGTTTCCAATTGTAGTATCACTTTAAGCTCGCTGAACCACCAGCAGATGGAGCGGGAAATTAAATTAAATGAATGTAAACTGGAATGCAAACCCTTTGCAATGGCCACAGAAGATGTACAGATGCAGAAATGACTTTCAGAGATCTCACTAATAGAGTCCCCACAAGACAAAAAGGAAACTGTCAGGGGGTTAAACACTCAAGCATCTACCCAAACCTGAAATTTCAGCATCTACCAAAATGGGTCGTCTTTGATAGTCTGGAAGCTAATGCACAGGCAGCCCATTAAAAGTCTCTGCTGCAGGCTAGCACTGGTGCAAATCTGAGCTCAGCCGGTTCAGAGGAAAAGGATATAAGCACTGCGGGAGGTTTGCGGTATGGGGCTGCTGAAATGGAACATCTGATTAAAGGTCTGCTTTTGTTAACCCTAGATGCTGGGGAGGGTGTGGTGGACCTTTACTAAAATGCCATTTACAGTTTCAGCTTCTTTTTAGTATTCTTGGTTCAAATCTGAGCTTTTTAGCATTGTTTTCTTCATGCTCTGGGTGATCCATAAAATATCAGACTGCCATATAGTGTTGGTCCTGTAATAGACCCTTAGGTCTTTCCTCCCACATGCAGTATATATGATGAAGGCAACTGACAACTCATGGGGCCTTTGTTTTATTTTGACATCCCCAGTGACAGGGTCAGTTTAAAAGCCAATTTCACCTTCCCTATTGACCAGGGGCGGACTGACAACTCATGGAGCCCCCGGGCAATAGGGGATCATGGGGCCCCTGTGCCCTTGCCCAAACTCAAAAAAGCCTATGAAAAAGGTACCAGGGGCATCTCATGGGGCCCCCTAATGACCCCGGGCCCTCGGGCAGTGCCGGAGTTTCCAAATGGTCAGTCCGCCCCTGGATGAAGGACTCTTAGCACCTCCAAATGCTGTGACATCCAGCAACCTTTCACTGTGGCCAATAAACTTCTGTTGCCTAAGGGGGTTCATTACCCAACCTCCCGTCTTTCCTGAGTAATTCCTACAAGGTAGAGACTCATTTTGCGGGATTCACACATTAAAATAAATCGTCACCGATTTATTGTAGGTAGCGAGGTATGTTGTTTCAGACATTAATGTACAGTCATGGCCAAAATATTGCTTTTCTGTCAGATAATGAACCACTTCGCCCAGAAAATTGTTGCAATTATAATTTTTGGGGGTTTGCGCAGGCAGAATGGGTCAGATTTGGCTTTTTGTTTCTCCACTTTTTTGTGTCATACCAATACAAACAAAAGAAAGAAACTCGATAATGCCTAAACATTTGTAATTGTAAAAATGTACTGGGTAAAGTGGTACATTATCTAACAGAATTGCAGGGGTCCCAATATTTTTGGCCATGACTGTAGGTTTGTCCGTTGAGAGGTTTTGGGGATATTTGTAAGGCTGCCAATACACCCAATAGGTTGGTCATTTCTGTATGCACAATCCAATTGCCCTCAGGGGTAGCCAGGGGCGGACTGACCATTCGAGCACTCGGGCACTGTTCAAGGGCCCGGGGTCAGTAGGGGGCCCCATGAGATTCCCCTGGTGCCTTTCTTTGGCTTTTTCATAGGCTTTTTTGGGTGTGGGCGAAGACACAGGGGCCCCATGATCCCCTATTGCCCGGTCGCCCCATGAGTTGTCAGTCCGCCACTGGAGGTAGCCTTCTGAAGTGGAGTTTGTCAGTAGAAGGGGGAAGCATTGGAGACCCATCCTGGCTTCTTATCAAGGGGAACAATAATTATCCAGACTGCGATTAACGGTATTGGGTGCCTTTTATGGAGGTTAGATTGTCACTTAAAGGATAAGTTCACCTTTGGAACATGTTACATGCTCCACCTGTTTTTAGGGTGGAACATGTAACATGTTCCCATAGCCGCCGCAGCCGTGCCCGCCGCCTCCCCTTCCTCTGACAGGTAATACGGGGAGAAGTTTCCCCATACTATCTGTCAGACATGAAAACAGTGCGGCTGTGCGGAACTCCATGCACACGGCCGCGTCACTCATTCACAGAGTTCTGTGAATGAGTGCCTACAAGTCCCGATAGCCCTATCAGCTGAGGGCTTGTAGTTTTCAATGAACTACCACAGTGCTGTGGAGCGCCGTGGTATTTCAATGAAGCTTCCTGTCAGTATATCTGCTTGACTGTACATCCCGTACAGCAAGCAGATATTCTGACAGGTCTGCAGGAGACCTGCATGGCACCAGCAATCTACTAATCACTGGTGCAATTCTTTCCAGGTTCCTTTTGACAAAAATAATAAATGCACATTTTTTTTACCTGCAAAAAAACTGCATTTATTATTTTTGTTCGAAAGGTAAACTTATCCTTTAAGCCTAATACACATGATGGGAATATCGGATGAAAAATATGGCTTTTGGAGTGATCGTCCGATAATCTGATCATTGGTACACATTTTTCGAGAGCCGATCACGACAGTTCATGCAAAATTATCAGAAAGGGACAAGCACAAAGATTTTTCATGTATGATAACAGAACAAATTATTTATATTTAATCAGTATAGTATTTGTAAAAAATCAAGTGACCAAAACCGTGCATGCTCAGAAACAAAAGAATACATTACAATATAATACATGACATCATCGCAGGAAGTTGTATTCTGTCTTACAAGAATTTTCATAACTCTAGTAACCTATTTGTTTTTGATATGAGACTAGTATGCAAAACTCTCATCATGTGTACGAGGCTTTAGTCTGCCTGTTTGGTCATTTCATACTTTTAGGCATGGCTCCCAACCAGGGGTGGACTGACCATTTGGAAACTCGGGTACTGCCTGAGGGCCCGGGGTCAGTAGGGGGCCCCATGAGATGCCCCTGGTACCTTTTTCATAGGCTTTTTTGAGTTTGGGCAAGGACACAGGGGCCCCATGATCCCCTATTGCCCGGGGGCCCCATGAGTTGTCAGTCCGCCCCTGGTCCCAACTGTCTCTCATTTAGAACCAATCCCTTTGTCCCTCTTCTGGCTCTGATGTACAGTGTAGATAAAATGTACTGTTGTAATTTACAGAGGTGATATATCTCGCTAAACCACTAAAGTATTGCATTTGAAAAGCCATTATGAAAAGTAGTGGTTAAAAATGAACATATACTTCCCACTGTCATACCCTCCGCACTCTTCTCCATCATATACTGCCCCATATCATACCCTCCGCACTCTTCTTCTGCATATACTGCCCCATGTCATACCCTCCACACTCTTGTCCTGCATATACTGCCCCATGTCATACCCTCCACACTCCTCTCCTTCATATACTGCCCCATGTCATACCCTCCACACTCTTCTCCTTCATATACTGTCCCATGTCATACCCTCCACACTCTTCTCCTGCATATACTGCTCCATGTCATACCCTCCACACTCTTCTCCTGCATATACTGCCCCATGTCATACCCTCCACACTCCTCTCCTGCATATACTGCCCCATGTCATACCCTCCACACTCTTCTCCATCATATACTGCCCCATGTCATACCCTTCACACTCTTCTCCTGCATATACTGCCCCATGTCATACCCTCCACACTCTTCTCCATCATATACTGCCCCATGTCATACCCTCCACACTCTTCTCCATCATATACTGCCCCATGTCATACCCTTCACACTCTTCTCCTGCATATACTGCCCCATGTCATACCCTTCACACTCTTCTCCTGCATATACTGCCCCATGTCATACCCTCCACACTCTTCTCCTTCATATACTGCCCTATGTCATACCCTCCACACTCTTCTCCTGCATATACTACCCCATGTCATACCCTCCACACTCTTCTCCTTCATATACTCTCCCATGTCATACCCTCCACACTCTTCTCCATCATATACTGCCCCATGTCGTACCCTCCACACTCCTCTCCTGCATATACTACCCCATGTCATACCCTCCACACTCTTCTCCTTCATATACTCTCCCATGCAATACCCTCCACACTCTTCTCCATCATATACTGCCCCATGTCGTACCCTCCACTCTCCTCTCCTGCATATACTACCCCATGTCATACCCTCCACACTCTTCTCCTTCATATACTCTCCCATGTCATACCCTCCACACTCTTCTCCATCATATACTGCCCCATGTCGTACCCTCCACACTCCTCTCCTGCATATACTGCCCCATGTCATATCCTCCACACTCTTCTCCTGCATATACTGCCCCATGTCATATCCTCCACACTCTTCTCCTGCATATACTGCCCCATGTCGTACCCTCCACACTCCTCTCCTACATATACTGCCCCATGTCGTACCCTCCACACTCCTCTCCTGCTTATACTGCCCCATGTCATATCCTCCGCACTCTTCTCCTGCATATACTGCCCCATGTCATACCCTCCACACTCCTCTCCTGCATATACTGCCCCATGTCATACCCTCCACACTCTTCTCCTTCATATACTGCCCCATGTCATACCCTCCACACTCCTCTCCTGCATATACTGCCCATGTCATACCCTCCACACTCTTTTCCTTCATATACTGCCCCATGTCATACCCTCCACACTCTTCTCCTGCATATACCGCCCCATGTCATACCCTCCACACTCCTCTCCTGCATATACTGTCCCATGTCATACCCTCCACACTCCTCTCCTGCATATACTGCCCCATGTCATACCCTCCACACTCTTCTCCTGCACATACTTGTAGGCAGGTACAGTTTATCCTCCTCTGTAGGTGGCATTGTTTAGCTGTCCTCTATGCAATGAGAATGGAGGTTGTGAGGAGTTTTGTTCCTTTGAAACCTCCGTAGGTGTCATTAGGGGAGCAGCTGCCCATTTGCACGCTGCAACCCTGGTTGACCCCCATGGCCATCTTTAGTGAGGGCAATGCTAATAAATAGCACTGCCCCACTGCAGTTGGCATGCATTTCCAAAGTGGAAAGAGTGGGGAGAGGATCCCAGCTGGTTATGGACAGTGTATTTAGTGCTAGGGAGACGTTCTTGACTAGGAGGGACAGAGTAGGGATACCAATTTTTGCTCTGCTATCTGGGGACTACACTGCTGCTCTGCCTATCAGCCACCCTCTTCACTTAGATACTGCTGCAGGACCAGAAGCATTATTAAAGTGTCATCTCAAGTGCTGAGACTGTGTTGAAGTCAGCGTTGCTGAGAACTGTTGTACTCGAGTTGCCTGTAGTATCTACAACTGTAGTATGTAGGTTCTAATGCCATATTGTTTGGGACTGTTGAGTAAGCACCTTACTGCTGTCTTTCACATGTTTGTTACCTCTAATTAACCAAATAATAACGGTGCCATTTTCCTTGGCCTGTGTGACTTTACTTCTTCTTGGGTACCCATCAACTGGCCTCACTCGCATACTGACCACTGCCATACCCTCTGCACTCCTCTCCTGAACATACTGACCACTGTCATACCCTTCGTACTCCTCTCCTGAACACACTGACCACTGTCATACCCTTCATACTCCTCTCCTGAACACATTGACCACTGTCATACCCTTCATACTCCTCTCCTGAACACACTGACCACTGTCATACCCTTCATACTCCTCTCCTGAACACACTGACCACTGTCATACCCTTCGTACTCCTCTCCTGTAGATTTTGACCACTGTTATACCCTCAGTAATCCCCTCCTGAACATATTGACCACTGTCATACCCCCTGTACACCGCTATTGTAGATTCTGCACTCTTTCACACCCCCTGCACTCTTCTCCTGAAAATACTCCTCCCTGTCATGCCTCCTGCACACCCCTGCTACACATAATGCCCTCTGACATACCCTCCTGCTCATATTACCCTCTGTAATACCCACTGCAATCCTGTTCTGCATAAACTTCCCACTGTCATACCATCCACACTCCTCTCCTGTACATACTGTCCCCTGTCATATCATATGCACTCCTCTCCTACACATACCGCCCATTGTAATACCGTCCACACTCCCATCCTGCATATACTCCCTACTGTCATACCCTATGCACCCCTGTCCTGCAAATACTGTCCTCTGTGTAATACTTGCTGTACTATTTTCCTACACATATTCCTCCCTGTCATACTCTCTGTATTCCTCTTCTTCATACAATACCCCCTGACATACCCTCCACACTCTTCTCCTGCACATATTCCCCTCTCAAATTTCCTCTGCACTCTTGTCCTGCATATACTGCCCACTGTCATATCTGCAGCACTTCTCTGTTGAACATATTGCCCTTTGTCATACCCTCTGCGCTACTTTTCTACACATTCTGACCACTGTCATACCCTCCACACTCCTCTCTTGAACATATTGCTCTCTCTCATACCCTCCACACTCCTCTTTTGCAAATATTGCCCTCTGTTATACCCTCCGCACTCCTCTCTTGCACATATTGCCCTCTGTCATAGCCTCTTCACTCCTTGCTTACACATATTGCCCTCTGTCATACCCTCTGTACTCCTCTCTTATACATATTGCCCTCTGTCATACCCTTCGCACTCCTCTCTAGCACATATTGCCCTCTGTCATACCCTCTTCACTCCTTGCTTACACATATTGCCCTCTGTCATACCCTCTGTACTCCTCTCTTATACATATTGCCCCTGTCATACCCTTCGCACTCCTCTCTAGCACATATTGCCCTCTGTCATACCCTCTTCACTCCTTGCTTACACATATTGCCCTCTGTCATACCCTCTGTACTCCTCTCTTATACATATTGCCCTCTGTCATACCCTTCGCACTCCTCTCTAGCACATATTGCCCTCTGTCATACCCTCTTCACTCCTCTTAGCACATATTGCCCTCTGTCATACCCTCTTCACTCTTTGCTTACACATATTGCCCTCTGTCATACCCTCTTCACTCCTCTCTTACACATATTGCCCTCCGTCATACCCTCTGTACTCCTCTCTTACACATATTGCCCTCTGTCATACCCTCTGTACTCCTCTCTTACACATATTGCTCTCTGTCATACCCTCTTCACTCCTCTCTTACACATATTGTCCTCTGTCATATCCTCCGCACTCCTCTTAGCACATATTGCCCTCTGTCATATCCTCCGCACTCCTCTTAGCACATATTGCTCTCTGTCATACCCTCCGAACTCCTCTCTTGCACATATTGCCTTCTGTTATACCCTCCACACTCCTCTCTTGCACATATTGCCCTCTGTCATACCCTCCACACTCCTCTTACACATATTGCCCTCTGTTATACCCTCCACACTCCTCTCTTGCACATATTGCCCTCTGTCATACCCTCCACACTCCTCTTACACATATTGCCCTCTGTCATACCCTCCAAACTCCTCTCTTGCACATATTGCCCTCTGTCATACCCTCCACACTCCTCTCTTGCAAATATTGCCCTCTGTCATACGCTCTTCACTCCTCTCTTGCACATATTGCCCACTGTCATACCCTCCACACTCCTCTCTTACATATATTGTCCTCTGTCATACCCTCCACACTCCTCTCTTACATATATTGTCCTCTGTCATACCCTCCAAACTCCTCTCTTGCACATATTTCCCTCTGTCATACCCTCCACTCTCCTCTCTTGCACATATTGCCCTCTGTCATACTCTCAACACTCCTCTCTTGCACATATTGTCCTCTGTCATACCCTCCCTACTCCTCTCCTGCACACACAGTTTTCATCATACCATCAACACTCTTCTCCTGCACATACTGTCCTGTCATAGAGTTTGGATTTCTCTCCTGCACATACTGTTCCTAGTCAGCACTCACTTGCACATTTTGCACCCTTGCCTGTCCTGGAACGGGCACATTTCTGCTAGTATCTATCAATACACTTCGGTTTTTTCTATGGCTAGGTAATGCGCCGGCACAGCCAGGAACCATCTCATCTCCAACTTCTCATTGACTTAACCAACAAAGTGATGCCAGGCATGCTAGCTGGAAGTTTTTTCTTTCCTTGTTTCCAGATAAAACTGACCCACTGGTGATCAACTGCACAGAGATTTTCAAGATTTATTAAATATCTGCGTACTTTAACGGATCAGAGGTTGCAAACCTAGATCAGCACCACATGCATCTACTGTGTTGTGCATGGCCGCCACTAAGTCTGGAAGGAGGACTTGTATTGACCAGGGCATAGGAGTTTAACCCCTTCACGCCGGATCGTCCCGGCATGAAGAGGAGTTCCTGCAACGGGAGTTGGGCGGGACAGGGCGTGGCTTAGTGTCATGTGGCCTCCGTGACCACGTCACGTCACAGCCGGTCACATGATCAGGAAAGGTCCCGATCGAAAGAATGGATCGGGACCTTTCCGTGAGTACCTCACATGTGTGCTGGGAGCGCGCAGGACGCGCGCTCTCAGCACATATGTTTTTTGCTACATGAACGCAAATGTGCGGCCACTCGGCGTCTAGGCCCAGACGCCGGGAGGCCGCACATTTGCGTGCGGCCGGCGTGAAGGGGTTAAGGGCTCATGTACACGGGGCGTTTGGAAAACTCTTCTGAACAATGGAAACTGACTGCTGGAAAACGTAGCTTAAAAAATGTCAGTTTAGCCGGGTTTGCATACCGTGTTTATGCGCATTTGCGTTAAGAAGCGTTTTTAAAAGATAACCTCAGGAGACCTTCCAAATGCCCAGAATGCACTGAAAAATAGTAAAACATTAACTATTTCATAAATTTTGAGAGAAATAGAGAGAGCAGAAGCAGAGAGAGCAGTATGTGTTGGCATGACCTGTCTTTTCTGGTTGTATTCACTATGGATCCCATCATGAGCATAATGCGGCACGTTCTGCCATTATTTCCTTCATGCAAAACCTGGAACTGACTGCGCTGGTGTACCGGGTCCAATTGAATACATGGAAAATGCTTTGCATGCATTTCTGATGATGAAAAAAGGCTCTGGACAGCATCTGGACATGGAACAGTTAAAAAACGATTCTAAACGCAAACTCTTATAAACGCGGTTAACTGCTTTTACAAGCGTTTGGCACGCCGGTAAAATCTACTCCTGAACGCAAGTTTGGTGCATTCAAAAAAACGACTGTAAACTCAACTGCCTGGAAACGACTCTGTGTACATGGACACATAGGAAAACATTAGGGAGAGCTCAGGGGCTGCTGAAAAAAATGCTGAACAGCTCCTGAATGTCAGTTTAGGATCTGCAGTGTACATGGACCCTAAAACTTGGCTCTTGAGAAAAATACTGATGAGGGCGTGCTGTGATGATTTCAGCAAGCTATGTACAGCTTTCCCCACCAGCCATGATCTGCCTGCATTCCATAAAGAAGCATAGAGACCCAGTGATTACATCACCGGGTCTAAAATTGAAATTGAAAATGGAAAGTTTTAATTTCAAAATGTCTTTCTCATATTGATGAGGGTGAGGAAGGAACCAGGGAAGACACAAAATATAAGCAGATTAAACTTCAGCTTAAAATGGAATGATAGGTTGATTTCAGTGCGGTTATCGTTCATTTTAGTGGCACCGCCTGCCATCTAGCATACCCTGTATTTTAAATGGTAGCCAATCTGCCATGCACAGGGGCGGACTGACCATTTGGAAACTCGGGCACTGCCCGAGGGCCCGGGGTCAGTAGGGGGCCCTATGAGATGCCCCTGGTACCTTATTCATAGGCTTTTTTGAGTTTGGGCAAGGACACAGGGGCCCCATGATCCCCTATTGCCTGAGGGCCCCATGAGTTCTCAGTCCGCCCCTGGCCATGCATAAGTGTGAACTATGTAAAAAATTTGCGAGTGCCCTAAAATATATATGGAAAGCTGCTATGCACAAAGGTAACCAATAACACCTTATATAATAGACTGTAAAAAGGGAGGTGCAGCGCTAAGAAGTTAAATAACAATAAGTCAATAAATAAATAGATATGTTTCCAATATAAATGCATAAAAAATTCATAAAATGGAATAAAATTAGACCAGTTCAAATAGTGAGTGAGACAGTTCAAAAAGGTGACTCTTGTGCTCTAGTAAATCTGGAACCAGTGTCCGTGCAATAGTAGTGTAAGTAATGCGCACTCACTGGACGCGCATAAAAAATGCACCTTATATCAATATTCCAGATGTCATCAAGGGGAGTCAGGAACTGGGTGGTCTTCCCCTCTAAGGCAGTGGTTCTCAACCTTCCTAATGCCGTGACCCTTTAATACAGTTCCTCATGTTGTGGTGACCCCCAACCATAAAATTATTTACCCAGTAATTATAATTCATGAAGTGTCGTTTTACCTCCAATACTGCTGCTTTCAACAGAGTAGCTGCTTTCTACACAGTAGCTGCTCTCTACACATCGGAAATATGTGTTTTCTGATGGTCTTAGGGGACCACTGTGAAAGGGTCGTTCGACCCCCAAAGGGGGCGCGACCCACAGGTTGAGAACCACTGATCTAAGGGATGGTAGGTCATCAGACAGGATCCTTGGGGCTTTACAGGTGATCCACGTCCACCAGAGTTCCCCTTTAAGGGGTTAAAACCGGTATTGCTCCCTGGGTAGGAGATTTCCTCTATGGGTGTAAAGGTTCATCCTGAGGCAATGTATCTGAAAGTTAGAAAGCACCCCCGGGGGGTTGGAACAAGGATATGCCCATAGTGTAGTAGGTAGTTGAAGTAAATTTTAATGTGACAAGTAAAGTTACAAATTGATGCATCAATAGGTAGGTAAACACTATTCAGTGAGCAAACAGGACTAACCGTCCGGTTTCAAAGATGGCCGCCGGGAGCTCCACGTTGACGTCACGGCGTGATGTGATTCCTCCTGACGCGTATCGTGCACACACACATCTTCAGAGGGGGGTCACCAAAACTGTGTGAACTAGCCACATAGAAATGAACAGGATATCATGCATTGAATGCAGGAATGTAAAATATTTGTCATTTACTATATAAAAGGGACAAATATAAATAGATCAAAAAACAGAAAAAAAGATCACAATAGGTTAAAGTCAAGTGATAGGGCTTCAGATCCTGTTCTTCAGAGCTGACACTCTATTAGAGAAAGTATGTCAGGCGTAATAGAGTAGGCAAGCAGTACATACATCATCTATTATTCAGGAGCGTCTGTCTGGGGTTGTATGTTCCATGTAGCACATGTGTGTCTGTACATGTACAGCCTCTCCCTCCCTAGAGGTGTCACGCTGCCTCTCTTATCTGCCAGCTGAGCCGCCTTGTCTTGGATTCCAGACTCGCTGTCTGCACTGATCTCCAGGCGGTGTCTGTCCATCAGATGTGGTCTCATCAGATGTGGTCTCTCTTTCTGTACAGAATAAAGTGTACCTGTCCTCCTAGATGACATGCATATTCCAATCTGCATCTTGTCTTTGTGTCTTGCAGTTGCAGAAGCAGCAACAGGAAGAGCCTGATCCTGACAAGCAGCAGCTCTCCGACGCTCCCCCGGCCGCATTCTCCTCTGCCGGGCCACATAGGTAAGAAAGTAGCGGTGCGCCGAAATGAAAATTCTGGACTGAATCCAAAACTGAAATGTCAGGATGCACTTGGCCGAAAACCGAAATAGACACCGAAAATATATTTTTAATATATAATTGTATTATATTCAACTTTTTAATAATTATCATGAATTTAAATAAATAGGAATTTATTTTTCAGCACCTTTTTGGCCAATAGGCTGCTTTCACACTGAGCAGTTTTCGAAGAGCTTTTGCATTTAAAAAAAAAAAGCGCAAGAAAAATGCATCCCTTTAAATTTAATGTATGTCTTCGCACTGGTCCGTTTCACTTCCCTTGCGGTGTGAAAAATCATGTTTGCTGCATTTTTGGTGTCTATTTGGTCAGTCAAAAAAAAAAAACTGCACCTCGCCATTGAGGCCTGGTTCACACCGATGCGTTTTTTTTAGTGCTTTTTGCAGAAACGCACTACAGTCCATTTAACATGGTTTCCTTTGAGAGACATTCGCATCTATGCTGTTTTGTACTGCTGCGTTTTTTTGGAAAGGGTCGGAGACTTTTTTTAAATGGAAAATGTCACGTTTTTGGTTTAATTATTATTATTACATATATATTGTACATTCACATCAGTCCCTAACCCTCAAGGGGCGTACAATCTAAGGTCCCTAACTCATATTCATACATACACATACTAGGGACAATTTAGACAGGAGCCAATTCACCTACCAGCATGTCTTTGGAGTGTGGGAGGAAACCCACGCAGGCACAGGGAGAACATGCAAACTCCAGGCAGGTGGTGCTGTGGTTGGGATTCAAACCAACAACCCGAGTACTGCCAGGAGAAAGTGCTAACCATTTAGCCACTGTGCTGAATAGACTTCAGTGGAGACGCTGCAGAAAACACATGTAGTGCGTTCTTCACACATTGACATTGCATTTTGTGTTTTTAATCTGCCCAGCAACAAGTTGCCCAAAAAAAAACAATTTTTAAAAAGCAAAATGCATATAAAAATCACTGCAAAACAGACAAATTGTAAACTGCATTGGTGTGATCCAGGCCTGAAATGCATTGAAAATGCCGCAAATTAGCACAAAAAAATGCACATGTATTGCATTTTTGATGCATTTTTTGAGTCACATGACCGTAGAAAAACGCACACTATCCCTAGGCTCACACCTATGCATCTTCTGCCGCGTTTTGCAGAAACGCAGAACAGTCCGTTTAACATGATTTCCTATGGGACAGGTTTACATCTCTGCGTTTTTACCCGGTGCGGTTTTTGCAAAGGGTCAGGGACTTTTTTGAATGCAAAACGTTGCATTTTTGGTTCTATAGACTTCGTTGAGAACACGGCAGAAAAACGTATTGCGTTAGTGATGCGTTTTGTGTTTTAAATCTGCCTAGCAACAAGAAAAAAAAAAAACCCCATCAAAAACATGGCAAAAACACAAGTGCAAAAACGCAAAACGCACCGAAATGCAGAAATCCCTCAAACGCAACCTGCATAGGTATGAACTTAGACTAAATGTAGTAAAATCGCAGGTAAAATCGCAGGTAAAATCGCAGGTAAAATCGCGTGTTTTTCAGCAGCCATTATCGGCAGCTTTTTTCCTATTGGCAAAATGCTGCTAACACTATTTTCGGCCGATACATTTCGGCCGCCAATATATTGGTGCATCCCTATCAGAAAGGCCAACGAAAGACAGACTCCATCCTTCCCTTCAAAACGCACAATTGTTCAGACTCCTCTCCTGTACTGAAATGACTAACTCTGATATCGCAGCATGCTCACAGTGTGCCTTCAGCTCTGGTTCACACCAGTGCTACTTCAAATGCGACATGATTTACAAATCGCACCTGAAGTTGCATCTAAAGTCTTTCTATGGCACTATTTTAATCAGTGTGATTTGAAGTAGCGTGATTTGAAATATAGTTCCTGCACTGCTTTTTTTCCGATTTCATTGCAACCTGCGTTGACTTCTGTTAAATGAAGTCGCAAGCTGCAGTGATATCGGAGGTACAAAGAGCACTGATCTGCAGCTTTGAAATCGCGCAACTTCAAGCGAAGTCGTGCGATTTTAAAGTTGCATTCAGTGTGAACCGGGGCTAAAAGCTGAAGCAAGTCAAATAAAACCTGCTTCATTTCCTGGTTGGAGGACGTCCAGCATCATCTAGCTTCTCCCCAGCCTGACTGTCCCTGGCCTGCCCCTTTGATTAACTGGATTTTACTTTAAGTTATGGAAGTTCAGTATCACATGTGGCCAGCGGCGGACTGACCATTTGAAAACTCGGGCACCGCCCGAGGGCCCGGGGTCAGTAGGGGGCCCCATGAGATGCCCCTGGTACCTTTTTTCATAGGCTTTTTTGAGTTTGGGCAAGGACACAGGGGCCCCATGATCCCCTATTGCCCGGGGGCCCCATGAGTTGTCAGTCCGCCCCTGCATGTGGCATTACCTAAGTGATTCTGCATGCAAATACAGCCTGTCTAGGAATGCCCACTCCTCCAGACCAGGGGCGGACTGACAACTCATGGGGCCCCCGGCAATAAGGGATCATGGGGCCCCTGTGTCCTTGCCCAAACTCAAAAAAGCCTATGAAAAAGGTACCAGGGGCATCTCATGGGGCCCCCTACTGACCCCGGGCCCTCGGGCAGTGTCCAAATGGTGCTCCAGACTGACATCAATCCATCAAGGCATTATTGTATATGCATACCTCCTCCCAAGAGCCAGCCCACTGCTCCCATCAGAGCTCTTAAAGTGGTACTAAAGGCATATATATATTATATGTCTATAATATAAAATATTTATTTTTTAAATAACAAACATGTCTATACTTACCTGCTGTGCGTAGTGGTTTTACAAGAAGCAGGGATCCTCCTCTTCTCAGGTCCCTCCAGGACCCCTGGCACTCCTGGCCCCTGCCTCATGTAGGGTGCCCCCATAGCAAGCAGCTTGCTTTGGGGGCACCCGAGCAGGCACATTACCAAGCCACTGCTCCATGTGTCCATTCGCACCCAGAAACATGGCTCGGCCTCGCCCCCTCTTTCTTCTCAGTGGCTCACTGACTGTGATTGACTGCAGCGGGAGCCAATGGTTATTTCAAGGGTTCTCTGTATGTTGAGAAAGGCTGTTTTAAAATTTAGTTACACTCTGGTATTTATTGCAATAGTGTAATGTCCAATTTCTTTACTGTGTGCAGAAACAGCAAAACCAAACTCTGCCCCTCTATCTTTCAACATATACACCATATGGGCAAATGGTTTGTGGACACCTGGCCATCACACCTACATGAGCTTGTTGGACATGCCACTTCAAAACCATGGATATTATTATGGAGCTGGCTATATGAGCTTCCATTCTTCTGGGAAGACTTTCTACAGTATTTTGGGGAGTGTCTGTGGGAATTAGTCCCCATTCGGCCAATTAGGCATTTGTGAGGTCATGTACTAATGATGAAGCAGAAGACCTGGCTCACGATCGGCATTTCAGTTCATTCCAATGGTAGGGTTGAGGTCAACTTGAGTTCCTCCACAACAAACTTATCAAACCATGACTGGTAGTGTACAAAATCACAGTCCTGCTAAAAGAGAAAAGGACCTTCCCTCAACTGTATCCGCATGGTTGGCAAATGTCTTTGTATGCTGTAGTATCAACAGTATCCTTTACCAGAAACAACTGAACCCAATAATTCATATACCTTCAGAGTGGACCAGGGGCCAGTAAAATCTTGTATAGTGGAGCAGGGGCCAGTAACACCTTTTATAGTGAACCAGGGGCCAGGAACACCTTGTATAGTGGGGGCCATGGGCCAGTTACAGCTTGTATAGTGGACCAGGGGCCAGTAACATCTTGTATAGTGGAGCAGGGGCCAGTAACATCTTGTATAGTGGAGCAGGGGCCAGTAACACCTTTTACAGTTGAGCAGGGACCAGTAAAACCTTGTATAGTGGACCAGAGGCCAGTAACAGCTCGTATAGTGGACCACGGGCCAGTAACAGCTAGTATAGTGGACAAGGGGCCAGTAACATCTTGTATAGTGGAGCAGGGGCCTGTAACACCTTTTACAGTTGAGCAGGGACCAGTAACACCTTGTATAGTAGACCAGGGGCCAGTAACACCTTGTATAGTGGACCAGGGGCCAGTAACACCTTGTATAGTGGACCAGAGGCCAGTAACAGCTTATATAGTGGACCACGAGCCAGTAACAGCTTGTATAGTGGACCACGGGCCGGTACCAGCTTGTATAGTGGACCAGGGGCCAGTAACACCTTGTATAGTGGACTAGGGGCCAGTAACAGCTTGTGTAGTGGACCAGGGGCCAGTAACACCTTGTATAGTGGACCACGGGCCAGTAACAGCTAGTATAGTGGACAAGGGGCCAGTAACATCTTGTATAGTGGAGCAGGGGCCAGTAACACCTTTTACAGTGGAGCAGGGGCCAGTAACACCTTGTATAGTGGACCAGGGGTCAGTAACAGCTTGTATAGTGGACCAGAGGTCAGTAACAGCTTGTATAGTGGACCAGGGGCCAGTAACAGCTTGTATAGTGGACCAGGGCCAGTAACAGCTTGTATAGTGGACCAGGGGCCAGTAACAGCTTGTACAGTGGACCACGGGCCAGTAACAGCTTGTATAGTGGATCAGGGCCAGTAACACAGCAAAAATCCCCTGTTAAGTCTAGCCACAAAACTGCATAGAGCAGTAAGAAAAAAAAAACAGGGTCGAAATTTATTGTGCAAGATTAAAAGCCTCTAACTGGGTTCGTCAAGGTCGTCATCTGTCACACCAAGCTGTGTTCCAGATTTTGATCAGGCACATTGTTCACGAAGTAGGTGACCTCCCTTGATTGTCCTTATAGTGGTGAGTTATGGATCTTCTATCTGGCCACTGCAGCCAGGCACCCTCCCTGAGAATGATGACTTCTAGAGATAGCCATTGTTTAACCTCTCAACAACCAGAGGTCATTTAATTCTAGATGTGCCGACCAAATTCAAAGGAATTGCACCCCCTTCTCCCGCTTTAATATTTTTTTTATCTCATCTTATCATTTATGCTGGGTTGTGTGTAATAAATATGCTCATGAGACCAGCAAATGAAGTGCTGAGCCCCGCTCCACTGCTGCACAGTAGATCCCATGCCACCATTTTCCTCTGTAATGTCATTGGGAGGTGGGTTGTTCTTGCAGCTGTCCCATGATGACGTCACTAAATCCTTCCTCCTGCAGGGCTATGATGCCTCAGCCAATGCTTAATGAGATATCTGATATGGATATCCTAGAAAACTGCAGTAGCGGCTGATGTCATTTTCACCTAGGCAAGAATTGAGACAGGGACAGGGTGGACCATAAATACATACAAAATAAATTGTCACTTTTATGGAAGCAGGAGGAATACAATGGGACAAAGGGGTGTTTTGGAGTGAAGGTTCACTTTACCCTGACAATACGTCTATGACTAAATTATATAATGTTTACATTATATAATGTTAAATCTATCTGTCGACCCCTCGCCTCACCCCCTCAGTCTCTGCCCGAATCACAAGCCTACTGAACGACATATCAGATTGGATGTCGCTCCACTTCCTTAAACTGAACCTCTCTAAAACCGAGCTCCTAGTCTTCCCCCCAGCCCGGACACCACCCCCCATTGACTTCTCTATCACATCCAACAACGCCACCATCAAACCCGCCCCGCAGGCCAGAGTACTTGGTGTCATTCTGGACTCCAACCTATCCTTCCAGCCCCAAGTCCAATCTTTAACAAACTCATGCAGACTCCACCTCCGCAACATCGCCAAAATCCGCACGTTCCTAACCCCAGAAACCACTAAACAGCTCATCCACTCCCTCATCATATCACGACTCGACTACTGCAACTCCCTCCTTACTGGCCTGCCTCGCCGCTGGCTATCCCCGCTTCAGGAGATCCTGAATACGGCTGCCAGACTCATTCACCTTACCAACTGCTCCGTTTCCGCCACCCCCCTCTGCCAATCCCTCCACTGGCTTCCGATTGCCCAACGGATCAAATTTAAAATCCTAACGCTGACGTACAAAGCTGTCCACCATACTGCCCCCGAACTACATCACTGACCTAATATCCAAGTACCGCCCAACACGCACACTCCGCTCCTCACAAGACCTCCTTCTCTCTAGTTCCCTGGTCTCCTCCTCCCATGCCCACCTCCAGGACTTCTCCAGGGCGTCACCCATCCTCTGGAACTCCCTACCCCAGTCCATCAGACTATCACCTACTCTCCTCTCCTTTAGGCGCACCCTGAAAACCCACCTCTTCAGGGAAGCCTACCCCACCCCCTGCTAATTGCCGACCTCCTCCACTCTTCCTACCACTCCATCCCCCACAGCTATCTCCTCCTGTACCACTCTCCCCTCCCTCCTAGATTGTAAGCTCCAAGGAGCAGGGCCCTCGAACCCCTCGTGTATTGCATTGTATTGTTATTGTACTGTCGCATGTACTGTCTCCCATTGTAATGTACAGCGCTGAGCAAACTGTTGGCGCTTTATAAATACTGTGTAATAATAATAATAATTCTTTAAGGGCATATATTTTTGATTGTTTTACATGTAAAAGTTCTTTATCAAATGTTTTCCTTTTTGTAAGGGCCCTTTTCTATCTTGAAGTTGCGGTAATGAAATGGCAATGCGCGGTACGCGTGTTGATGCTTTGCGTAGCCATTTATTTTGAATGGCACCCCAGCACATTAAGGCGACGCACTTACTTTGCGGAGCACCGCAACACATCGCAACACAAAATAGTGCATTGCAGTGCATTGTTAAAAATCTTGTGTCATGTCGGATTTTCGGGACATTTTGGTGTGTTGCCTTATCGCAATTAGTAATCGATGTAACTCATTACTAAAATGTAAATTTCAAACTCGTAGCTCAGCCCTTAACATTACAAAACTTTTTTTTTTTTTTTAAAAAAACATTTTATCCCATTGTTTATCCATTAGTTAACCATAATTAGTCAATTCCTTCTTGTCTTAGTATTTTTTTGCAGATTTTTAAAAAAAACAACCTTTGTTGTAAATGACTGTTGTAAATCCACATTCATCTGTGTTTTGAAGCAACAACTTAAAAAAATATATTTTACCAGAAACAAGTTTTTGTAAAAAGTTGAAGAATTTGTTGTTAACCCTAATTAAAAACCCTAAAAATTGTAGTTAAAATTCTGGATAATCATTATTTTTTATGTACCCTCATTGCCTTCCCCTAGATTTATTGTTATTTTAGATTTGTGTTTTTATCTAGCACTAAAGGGTGCTGGGCAGGGGCGGACTGACAACTCATGGGGCCCCCCGGGCAATAGGGGATCATGGGGCCCCTGTGTTCTTGCCCAAACTCAAAAAAGCCTATGGAAAAGGTACCAGGGGCATCTCATGGAGCCCCCTACTGACTCTGGGCCGTCGAGCAGTGCCCGAGTTTCCAAATGGGCAGTCCGCCCCTGGTGCTGGGTGTCCCTTGGGTGCCAGAGCACATTGTCCCAGCATTGGTGTCCATTGTAAATACTGCTATAGTTTTTCTTTTTTCACTGTTAGGCCTCATGCACATGGAGCAAAAAAAAAAAAAAAAAAACACCCCTTATACATGCATTCTACGTTTTTTTTTTTGCATGTAAAGAACCTCTATGTTAGCTTATGCGACCATGCACACATAGGCAGGGCCGTGGATAAGGGGGCACCACCAGTCCTCTTGTACGGGGCCCAGGCCAGCAGGGGGACCCAGGCAGCTGGGTAAATAGGAGGTGGGCATGGAGGATGATTGGCACAGCGGGGGGCAATTACAGCCAGTTGATAGATGGCTTCTTCTCCTCTCCTGCTGGCTTTCAGCTGCAGTAGAGAGAGCCATACAGGAGATCGGCTCCACAAATTGCCCCCCCCCAGCCACACCCATCACCCTCCCTGTGCACAATATATTTCCCCTGCTGCCTAGGCCCCCCACCCTTGCAAAGCTGCTGGCTTCCCTCCTCTCCTTCCCACCAGCAGCTGCAAGCACACTGCAATACACTGCAAGCCGCAATAGGATCCTTCAGGGTGGAGAATGGAGGAAGTGTCCAGTTACCGGCCCCTTCCTTTCCTGTATGAACACAATGAGTGATCAGTACCCATCACTCACTGTGTTCATTCATAACTGAAGCATAGTAAACTGTCTTTTTTTATTGGAGAAGGGGGCCCTGTCAGGGTTACTGTATGGGGCCCCGTGGTTTCTAACAGCAGCCCTGCACATAGGCGTTTACAGGCATATTGGAAGAGGAGCATGTACAGGCAGAAAAAAAAATGCACCAAAGGCGAGTTCTGCGAAAAGCTTTTGAGCTGAAAGAATATGTATGAACATATCAAAACATGCACAAATGTGCACGTATGTGTGTACATGTATTCCAATGGCCAGAATAAATATATTTTCTGGCCAGTAGAATGCATTTATCCTCAAATTCCATACACACATAAATACATGCATAAACACGCATACATATTGTAACATTGGAGGCATTTTTTTCTGCCAAATTCTGGCAGAAAAAACAGTGTCTTTTATTCGTAGGTCCTTGTGCATGAGGCATTAATTGACTTACTTTAACCTTCTTTGTCTTTTTTTTACATTTAGGCGGAAGCCCTATGGACAGCCCTCGCAATTTCTCTCCTAGTGCCGCTGCTCATTTCTCCTTTGCATCATCACGCAGGTAAAATACCATTCACATCTACCTTTTTTGCAGCTGACTTAAAAAAAAAAATGCCAATGTACCAAACAAGCTACAAATCCAAGGACAACTATGGTTTGGAGTCCATGAACTCCATGTGGATACTGAGTAAATATTCACGACAAATGTGTGTGCATTATATATACCTTGGCGTCTTGCTGTTTTATTTTCCTTTGTATTCATAATAACTATTGTGAATATATGATCTAATATCCTTTATTCTGATCTTCGCTCCGCATTATACCCGAATGTGATAAAATATCAGCATAATAAGCCCAAAAACAAAATCTAATATACTGTATTTCAGCATACCAGTCCATAGGTGGTGATTATGCTACTTTTCTTTTTTTCTGGATATTCTTCCTTTGTTTTTCACCTAGTGGTTCTTCCAATAACACATTTGGGTGAGATTCAACACTCACTGCACTGTATCTATGGAGGAGCAGTGCTGTCACCCTGTGAGTGGAAGGACTATAAAACAATTCCTTCTCTCCTCATCCTCATTACATAGAGTGGTGTTCTTTAGTTTTAAAAAGTGAGCTAGGTGTGGCTGATAATATTGTACAAGATAACTGTAGCGCTACCCCCTTGAGAGCCGTTGGTTTTGGGTCCCCCTTATCCCTGCACAACTGGGCAGCACACATTTTCCAAGAACCATTCAGAGTCAATAAGGAGTCCATGGGCTGGTTTTTCTTGTTTTATTTGGGGAAAACAACTTGGATAGGGTACAAGTGTCAAATTGGTGGCCCTCCAGCTGTTGCCAAACTACAAGTCCCATGAGGCATTGCAAGATTGACAGTTACAAGCATGACTCCCAAAGTTAGAGGCATGGGGGAACTTGTAGTTTCCCAACAGCTGGAGGGCCGCCAGTTTGACACCCCTGATCTAGGGGTATATGGGATGCCCAATTTGACTTGAAACAATAACTCTGAGGACAACCTTCCTACATTCTGTACAAAATGATGGATCCTGGACTTTTTACTCCCTTCTTGACGGATCAGTAACATCTCTATATCATGGGCGCACAACCTGTGGTCCTCCAGCTGCTGCGGAACTACAAGTCCCATCATGCCTCTGCCTTTGGGAGTCATGCTTGTAACTATCAGCCTTGCAAAGCCTCATGGGACATGTAGTTCTGCAACAGCTGGAGGTAGGCCACAGGTTGAGCACTCATGCTCTATGTGAACCTCTTCAGACCCCAGCTAGAAACTGCCCATCCACCTGGCTGTCTTTGAAGAGTATCCCAGAGCAAGAGATCCTAGACTTGCAGACTTGCAGCACTGTCTCAGGGAGAACTGGTTGAGTATGGCTTCTAGCAGCCCTCTCCCCTATAGGCCCCCATGGGTGTAGAGGTACTCACACTGTCCTTATGTCCTGTAGCTTTGGATAAACTGTTTCAGGATTTTAGCTGGGCTAATTTCTTTCCAGGGTAACAGACTGGCCTTCTTCAAGTGGACTGCAGGGCAATGGAGCTCCCTCTGTCAACTTCCTTCTCCCATCCTTCCAGCCTGGATGCAGAACCCCCCTTCTTCGGGGTCCCCTCCCAGGCTACACAGCAGCACACCTCAGTACTCCATCTTCCACCCGACTCCCCTGCTGGCCAGGCGCTCTCATATTTATGGGCTGATGAGGTCACCTAGGCAGGCCTCCTGCTTGGGGATTGGCCAGAATCCCATCAATATGTAGATCAGTACCTTCTGGCTTCCACCCACTAACTTCTACAAACGTCTTCTAAAAGCTTCTAGAACAAGGGGGAGGTACCAGATTCCTGACCGTAGAGCCCTCCAGTCTGACCTAAAGTAAACTTACTGACTCACACCCAGGCTTCTAACAAGTCTCTAACTACACTACACCAGAGGGCTCTACATAACACCGCAGAGCACACAGGACAGCATAGGCAGGTATTTTTATGTACCTATTTAACAGATATAACAAAATGCTGCAAATGGTAAAATTTACAGACCAATAGGCTGCAAATATCACCCAGGGAGGAGAGGAAGAGACCCTGGGACGTCATGTGACCAGTCAGAAGATGGGAAAAGAGGTGTGTATGCAAAAAACTTTCATTAGGCTAAACCTAATTAGTCTTATTAATGCTTCCTCCCTCCTTCCAGCAACCATGCTGACTAATATGTGTATACTTGCAGAAAAAATAATGTGAACAGAGAATTCACAAGAAGAGGCGGTTACATGAAGGACAATGCGATACTCAAATTAATTATCAAAATATGCTTTTATCAGCAAAATAGCAATTTGAGACAATTGAGTAAAGACTGCTGGTAACCATCACCTCAATATAAGACAATACAAAAGACAACCTTAAAACAAAAAATAAAAAAGAGAGACATCGTGGCTAGGCCATAAATTGTACTATGCTGCAGAGACAACGACTCAAAGGTCTTTTGTACATACAGCAAAGACACATTGGGGTGCACCACCATGGTGGGGATACATATATAATGAAGAGAATGCAATATTTCTGTAGACCAATCATCAAAATTATAAAGGTGTAACCTCTATTAGCATGGAAATAGAAGCCCAACTAGGGAAGATATACAGTAAGGAATTAAACACAATGACCATGTAACTGGATACATTCCACATATAAATGCCTGTATCAAAGTGGTGATGAATGAGGCATTTGATGCAATCCAGGTAGTATGTAGCCCATAGGCCAATTCTTGAGACCAGAAGACACAGCCTCCAAATATAATGTGCGGTGGTGATTTATAAGCCCACACAGGGCAATGGATATTGCATGTAGGAACGTTTTACAGATGAACGTTATATCAACAGAACGTAGACAAAATAGCAGTTCGCTGCCAGCTGGAAGTAAAATAAAGTCACTGCCCTGAGATGAAAAGTGACTGGTAGGAAGTCCGTGAGGCAGCCGTCATAAGGACTACTAATGGCAGAGCCCTGCCTCCATCTATGTCCAGTTATCCGCTAGGTGTGAGCAAAAGTGTCACAACTTACTCCATCAGATGGAGACAGCATGACCTTCCCTTAGTTGCTCGAGTCCATACTCAGAGTCCCGGAGGCAGCCGCCATGTCAGGACCTCCGATAACTAGGCCCCACTTCCTAGAGAGAACACATGGTGGTTGGTCAGTACCAAGAGTTAGCGTGGTGCTCCGTGTCCCCACCGGGTGCGTAAAGCTGATGTGCTTGGCCAGCCGTGACGTCACTGACGTGTGACGTCAACACGTTTCACCGATGGGCATATCTTACTCAGCTTCGTCAGGATCTATGGGTTATTTAATATGTGTATACTTACCTATTTTCAGCCAGCTATGGTTCAGTCATTCCCAGAGTGCTTGACAATGGCTGGGAACTCGGGGAGCGGTGACCCCCCCCCATAGGCTCCTATGTGCCATCCATTGTTGGCGCGCCTCTGAATGACACAGGGGAGCTGGATCATGTGACCGGACCAGAGCAGGCTGAAAATAGATAGGTATGTACATCTTTCTTACACAGGTTAATCAGCATAGGTGTTAGGAGGGGGGAGAGAATATTTTTAAGCCTAGTTAGGGTTTAACCTGGAATTCTACTGTAACTACCCTGAAACTGACTGGTGAAATGGTACCACTGGAACAGTAAAAAGGGAAAAGGGAAATTTAAAAACGTATTATAAGACACTTTTATGGGCCTTTTCTAAGACGTTTCAGCTAGAGATGATGCTCCTCTTGAAATATCAAGCATTGCAGAGCTTATTACAAATGTTCATATCAGGCAAAGTCTAGGTAGCACCATTCATAGGACGATAAGCTGTTGACAACTAAAACATAATCAAAAGACAAAAATGCTCCTTTAAAAGGCACAGAACAAAAATGGTTGTGTTTAAAATGGATTCCACGGTAGTGCTTAAAATTGATGCCATGTAAACACATCACATTGCAATATTTAATCCCCTGGGCAATACATTGAAAAGGCTAAAAACAAAACCTATTTGGTTTACGTCTATTGTTAAAAATGCCATAAACAATTGGAAAAGAATATTTAAAATAAAACTCAAAGGCCACTTTGATCTTTTTTTTAGAAAACAACAATTGAAAAAAGGGTTTACTAATATTCAAAATAAACAACATGATTGGTGTCATTGGGAGGAATAGCGCCTGTTGTTGGTATCAGTAACAGTAATTATACCACATTGTTGGTGTCATTAGAAGGAATAATGCCTTGTATCAGTGGATGGAATAGTGCCCCAAGAGCCTGATATGGGCGGCACAGTGGCTTAGTGGTTAGCACATCTGCCTTGCAGTAAATGGGTCATGGGTTCAATTCCCAACCATAGCACCTCCTGCATGGAGTTTGCATGTTCTCCCTATGCTTGCGTGGGTTTCCTCCCACACTCCAAAGACATGCTGGTAGGTGAATTGATTCCTGTCCAAATTTGCCCTGGTATATGCATGTGAGTTAGGGACTTTAGATTGTACACCCCTTGAGGGTTAGGGACTGATGTGAATGTACAATATATATGTAAAGTGCTGCGTAAATTGACAGCGCTATATAAGTACCTGAAATAAATAAATAATAAAGGCAAGCAAAGGGCCATATCCAGCCCCTGGGCCACAGTTTGGAGACCACTGGTCTATACTGACACCAGACAATCCCAGGAGATGTCCCCTGCCTCCTCTCCTATACACAACAGGTGTTGAAAATGATACTCTCAGCTGTGCATGTTTCCCTGTAAGACTGTGTAGAGGGGATTTGTCCATTCTATACACTCAGGTCTCAGATTACACCCAGTTCTCTGGTTCTCAACGCTGTGCAGTATGTGACATTTGATCCCTGTCCCCTGCCTTCTACAGCTCAGCAATGCTGTGTAGACTTTGAACTGATGAAGAGAGGGCTGCAGATAAACAGGTACAACCTATGTAGGAAGATTTTTTTTTTTTTCATCTCTGTGTATCAACTGAGGCTAGTCACTGCAGTGGATATATGTAAGGGTTTACAATTAGTTAAAAGATCTCCAGGTGCTGCTATTACCTGGTATGTCTAAGGGTGTGCCAAATGGAACTGTGATTCTCTCCAATAGCCTCCACATCCTAATTGTGCTCTGTTGTGACATAGCGGCCAGTAGGAAGAGCCACAGTGCCCAGAGACGGACATGCTATCCCACACTTCAGATAGCAGCAACACCCAGAGCTCAAGAAAGCAAAGATTTAACACACCACCTGCTGGAATTATACATAAACCTCTGTTTGCAGGATTTGCCAATTTCACCTTCCCTATTGACCAGGGGTGGACTGACAACTCATGGGGACCCCGGGCAATAGGGGATCATGGGGCCCCTGTGTCCTTGGCCAAACTCAAAAAAGCCTATGAAAAAGGTACCGGGGCATCTCATGGGGCCTCATACTGACCCCGGGCCCTCGGGCAGTTTCCAAATGGTCAGTCCGCCCCTGCTATTGACTCCAATGCATTTTGCCAAAAAGTTTCCAGGTTCTCAGCAATATTTTAGTGAAGCAAAAAACTCTTTTATTGCTCATTTTATTGGGAAAAAGAGAGTTCAAACCTGTTAAATATCTTCAATTACTTTTTTTTTTTTTAAGAAACCAAGGAAAGTGGTGTTGCTGATGTACAAAATGGGAATAGTATTAACAGAATTTGAAATACATGACAATGGCTCAGCATAGATATGGTCCTCAAGCAATTAGACAAAATAAAAGCGAATAAAGTACTCGTACCAAATGATTGATCTCATCCTTAGGTCCTCAGAAATAAGAGAAGTTATCTATAAGTCAGTGTCTCCTAAAAAATACCGTGAGTGTCTTGGTTCTTTAGTGGCTTATGCAAAAAAGTTACTGTGCTTGTGGAAAAACACAAAAAAATAAGTAAAGATATAAATGTAAGAGTTGCCAGTACACTATGAGATTTAAAACAGCTAATAGTCCTTTATAAAATGTGCTGAATTGCTGTATCACTTGGAAGCCCCAGAAGATGTAATCTAAGACGAAACGCGTAGGGCGGAGCTCGTTGTGTCATCATCACGCCTGCTGGAAATTAGCCGATTATGTGATCTTTGCGGGTGTGTGATTATTTTAAACAGCGCTGAGTTTATTTCTCTTTCCTTGTGAGTGCAATGTTAGTCTTTTAATTAAAATCTTACAGTTTTCTCATTATGTGGAGCATGTGATTTTCTTTTCTGGGGTACTGACCTGCACACACTGATGCCCTACGT